GAGCGGGGGCTCCCGGCAACACGCACCCATAGCCCCTCCGCCCCCCCCTGTGGGTAATTGTGGGTGCTTGTTGTTCGGTCACCAAAGACAAGAATTATCAAACGGCTGCATTCGGGCTCAGCTGTGGTCGCGACATTGTACAGATATGTCCGCACGCACTTCCAAGGCTGTTTCGAGTTCTCATGATTATGTGCACACCTGCATGCACGCATACTGGCGCGTCGACGCATGCACTCGCAGCCAGACATAGATCTGCACTTGCATGAGCACGTACGGATGCACATGCACATACGCAGGATCCGTGCCCGTTCTCACGAATAACAATTGCATGACCTACATGCGAACATCGGACGGGGCTAGGACGAGGATTAATCCGTCCCAGAGAGGTCCGGAACGCTGTCGGAGCGTTTTGGAACGCTCTGAAAAGGCCGCGGCGCCCGAGACATCCTCCAGAGCCGAAAGATCTCAGAGAGTAGAGATTCTCAATTTATCTTCACCCTATTTCATCCTCGTCCTGGCTTCGTCTAAGAACATGCAAGCGCATGGAACACCGCCTCCACCTCCAGACTGTCACGCCGTGCGCACTCGGGGCATCATGGACCCGTGAGGGGCTCGTTTCTCCCCCCAATTTATTATCGCCCCCCAGTCATTCGCGCCCAATGCTTGCCTTCCTTTCCCGTGCCGTCCCCCCCCCCGGGCGCACAGGAGGAGGAGGAGGAGGAGGAGGAGGAGGAGGAGGAGGAGGAAGGGGAGGAAGAGGAAGAGGAGGAGGAGGAGGAAGAGGAGGAAGAGGAGGAGAGGAGGAGGAGGAGGAGGAGGAGGAGGAGGAGGAGGAGGAGGAGGACCTGGCGGTCCAGGGGCCTCGGCGCCCTGGTGGCCAGCGAGGTCCCCGCGGGGCCCGCCAATGGGGGGGGGCGACGTCTCCCCCCCCCCGCGAAGAGGGAGGCGCCCCGTCGCATTCTCCGCAGTAGCCGCCGCGCCTCTCCCGCAGCCGGGGTGGGGTTCTGCGCGGCCCCCTCGCACGAAGACGACGACGGCGACGACTACGGCGAAGACGACGACGGCGACGACTCCGGCGACGACGGCGGCGGCGGCGGCGAGACCCGCGACGGTCACGACGACGGCAAGGGCGTCGACAGCGACGACGACGGCGACGATGACGGCGGCGGCGGCGACGGCCGACGGCGACGACGGCGGCGGCGGCGACGACGGCGACGGCGACGACGACGGCGGCGGCGGCGGCAACAACGACGACGACGGCGGCGGCGGCAGCGGCGGTGGCGGCGGCGGCGCACGCGAGAGGCGGGCGAGCTTCTCTCGGTGCCACGTACCGCTGCCGCTCCTTGTCGCCAATGTTGGGCCCCTGGCGTGGGTGCCACGCCCAATGCCCGTGCCCTCGCCGAACGGTGCCATTCGCCAGTGGGTCCCAGGCCTGGCCTGACTCCCACTTCTCTCGCCGGCTTGTCTCAGCCTGACAAGCGAAGTGCCCAATCCAATCCAATCCAATCCAATCCAATCCAATCTTCCTCCTCCTCCTCCTCCTCCTCTTCCTCCTCCAGTCCAATCCAATCCAATCCAATCCAATCCAATCCTCCTCCTCCTCCTCCTCCTCCCCTCGGGTTAGGTTCCGGTCTTGTGTCAAGTGCTGTACTGTGCCGCGGTTCCTTGTTTGCTGTTGTGCGAGCCCGGTTATATGAATGATCGGTGGGATCATGGGGAAGTGCAGCCACAACGCTTTAATACACCCATCCGCTCTTTGCCCTCTCTTCTTGGTCCTTCTCCTCCCCTCTCTCCCCTTCCCGGTGCGCTTTGTTTTCTCCCGCAGGCGGCGCACGCGTGCCTCAGGGTGTGTGTGTGCCTTCTCATCTCAATGCAAAGTGTCACCGCGCCGATTCCGTGACATGTGGATCGTGTTCTAACCCGAGTCCGGGGTTATTGCCGGTTTTCGCTGTCACTGCCCTCCAGCTGTCGGCTTCGTTCTGGACGTGCGATCTGTATAGCCTCCCTGAGGGGCAGCGGATTCCTCCTTCTCCCCAACCTTGTTGCCGTGGAAAAAAATGTTGGCCAATCTCCGCCGAGGGCTCGGACCACACAAGGCTCCGGCAAGACATATCGACGCGCGAATCCCAATGATGCTTGCCCATCGACGGCAAGCCCCAGTCCACAAGGAGATGCCGACCATCGTGACTCATCGGTCGTTGAAAGTAGGTATTTTTGGATTCCCAGATTCCAATCTACTTTGAGCGCCTTCCTACTTCAGGAGTCGAGTGGTTTTCCCTCTCCCCTCCTCTTCAGGAGGCGGGGCGGAAGCCCGATCTATTTCCAACGCCTTCCTACTTCATGTTTCTACCTACTTCTTCCGACCGATGGGTACAGCTACGAAAACAGGATGACTGCGCTGCTCGAGCGGATCAAGGTCAGGGAGGCGCGGCCTGCAGAGGAGGAGCAGGACCGCAGCACAGTCCTCGGGCACACGGTGCCGGATGGACAGCGGGATGCTGCAACACCCCCGCGGTGCAGGCGACGGGGCAAAGCAAAGGTGGCGAGGCATGAAGCTACGACGGCAGCGGCACCAAGTCCCACGCTGGCGCCTACCCCATCGAGGACAGGCCAGCTTCATCATCATTTCATGACGCGGCTCCTGACGGGCCCAACGTGCATGACGGGATGGAGCGATTGGGATTAATTCGGCATGTCCGAAGCCGTGTGCAACAGGACCTCTCTCGTTGGCGTCAGCGACGAGATGCAGGGAAGGGCTGGGTTGCGACCTGGGCGAGGTGCACGCGAGCATCCTGAGCACAGCGAGTGGTATCGTCGGTGGGCCTCTCCTGCAGAACCCCCTGCCAGGCGAGGGGTTAGGCCTGATGGTGGTGAAGCAAGGCCCTCATCATCTACGGCGGCGGCTCCGAGAGGCGAACGGTCACCTGCTGCAGCGGCAAGAGGCCGAGTACAGAGTGGGCAACGCGAAGTAGTTCAAGCACGCACTCCCCTGCTAGGCGAGGGGTTAGGCCTGACAGTGCTGGCGCTGAGGCCAGTTGCTCATCACCACGACGGCGACCTTGCGAGGCGACGGGCCAACTGCTGCAGCGACAGGTGGCTCAGAACGAAGCGGGCGGAGTCGAGAAGGCCCAGTGCCTCGCCCCCCTGCCAGGCGAGGGGTTGGGCCTGCTGGTGCACCAGCGGGGAGCTCATCAGCGACGTCGGCGACCCCGAGAGGCGAAGGTCCACTTGCTCAGTGGGGGGCGGCCAAGCTCAAGCTCTGGCACGACGAGGATGCCAAGCGAGGCTGAAAGAGTGAGAGTAGCATCTATGACGGCGTCGCCGAGAGGTGAAAAGGCCACCTGTTGCAGCGGCAGGTGGCCCAGTTGGAGTGCCGCGCCCACGAGAAGACCATCAACATGCGCCCCTTGCCAGGCGAGGGGTTAGGCCTACTGGTTGTGAGGCGGCGGAGTCGTCACCTTCGACGTCAGCCCAGAGGAGGGTAGGGTCAATGCGGCACGTGGCCCAGAACAAAGAGGACTACGTCGAGAAGGCCAAGCATGCTGTTCTTTCCCGCCAGGCGAGGAATTAGGCCTGCTGGTGCTGAAGCGGGGCGCTCCTCGTATGCGACGGCGTCCCCGAGAGACGAATGGCCAACTGCTGCAGCGGCAGGTGGCCAAGCACACGGAAGCCATGCCAGGCGAGGGGTAGGCTTGCGAGCTGAAGTACGAGTATTACGTCGTGTGATTATTCGGCCACTTCATGCTGCCTCTCTGGATGCAGAAGGGGCTGGCGCCCGAGACCCGCGCAGTGCGGGCTGTATATTACTATTCTTCTTATCATTATTGTTACGATTATTATTATTATTATTATTATTACTATTAGTATTATTAGTATTATTCTTATTATTATTATTATTATTATTATTAGTCTTATCATTATCCTTCTCCTCCTCCTCTTCCTCCTTCTCCCCAGCCCCCTCCTCCTGCCGCTCCTGCTCCTCCTCCTCGTCGGCCTCTTCCTCCTCCTTCTCCCCCTTCTCCTCCTGTCGAGCCTGATCAGTAGGCCGACGCTGCCAAATCAAGGGTGCCTTGGTGTCCTGCGTTTCACGGCCCATGCCTTCCGCGTGCGCGCAGCAAGGTGGCCCTTCGGAAAGGTATTGCGCCCTTCTCGTGCGCCCTCCCCTTTCAACCCCGAACGCAAGACGTGGAACGTCTCCAGGGTGCCTGCGCAACGCTTTCGGAACTCTAAGACGTGAAGCGCCTCAAGGGCCCCTTCGGGGGCCTTTCGGGCCGGCCCTTCGCGGCGCCCCGTCGCGACGCTTTCGGAACTTCAAGGCGTGGAGCGTCTCAAGGGTGCATTCGGGTGCCTTTCGGGAGTCCCTCGCGCCAGCCCTGTGCGGCGTCCCCTTCGCGACGCCTCCAGAGCGGGCCCCGCGGGGAGGCCCCCCCGCGGGGCCGCCCTTCGTGGCGGGCCCCACGGGGCGCCCCTTCGAGGCCGCCCGGCGCGGCGACCCTTCGGGGGCGGCCTTCGGGGCGGTACACACACGCTGGTCGTTGAAAATAGGCATTTTTGGATTTCCTGATCCCAAGCTACTTTTGGCGCCTTCTTACTTCAAGGTCAAGCTTCGACGGGTTTCCTTCTTCTCTGACCTTCAGGGGGCGGGCGGAGGTCCAATCTACTTCCAACGCCTTCCGCTTTCATGTTTCTGCCCACTTCTTCCGACTGGCGTGTACCCCATCCGTTGCGCGTTCTCTTGTTCGAGTCGGGGGTCGGCTGCAACATTGATTCGCCCCCAAATTAATTTATTTGTCGAATCTCTGAACAATTCGTCGAAGAGTTGCCCAAGCCACGAATATGCTACGTATTAGTCTCGTAGACTCGGCGGACACATAATTCTGTGGTGAATCAATTATGTAGCCGAACCCCTACCCTACCCTCACTGTGATGCGCGGCCCACCGCTCAGCTATGATTGGACCTGGCTTCGGATGCTAAGCGCACTTCCCGCTGCCGTGGGGAGGTGCTGCGCGACCTGCCCTACGACGAGTCCATCCACCTCTGCCTCATGCCGAAGAGCAGAACTCGGCATAAAACACAATTACCTCCGAGGTCCGCGCGGATTCCTTGGATCTGCGCCGGGCCCCCCCGGCGCGCTCCTCGCGCCAGGGGGGGGGGGGGGGTCTAGCGCCGATCCCGGAACTCCGCGCGGACCTCCGAGGAATTGTAGTTATGCAGGTTTCTGCTCTTCTGTCGTGTCCGACGGGTGCGCCCCCGCGCCCGCCAACGGCCCCGTCCCCTCTGCGCCTCCTCCCGTCCTTCTCTTGCCCCTCTCCCCCCCTCCAACGGGGAGCTGAACAGTTTCGAGGGCCCCGTCTGCGTGGCGCAATCCGTGCGGCGTGACCAAGGCGGTGTAGTCGACGCGGCGCAATATGTGTATATGTACAGATCGGTCGATAGATATATAGATAGATAGATGGATCTCTCTCTCTCTCTATATATATGTGTGTGTGTGTTTGGCACGAGCTATGCGGTTTGGGTGCCAAACGGGAGAACGTTTTTGACCAACGCGGCGGCGAGCGGCGACGGGGCGGCGACGGCGCGAGAATAAAGCTGGCTGCGGCGACACGCGGTCCCGCGAACGAGGCGGCGACGGGGCGGCGACGGGGCGAGAGCACGCCGGCCGGGGCGGCAAACCAGCCCAGTTGTTGTACAGCCATGCCCGAGCCCCCAAATGCACGCCAGCTGCGCGAAAACAATTGTTGGGCAACATGCCCATGTTTACGTGAAAATATGGTGCGCGAGAGCGATGTGCATTCAATGCCGTTGTTCAAGTCATGATGTGGATTTTCATTGGTTGCTGGACCTTCTCCGAGCCTTGTTTGTTGTCATTGAGGAGCCAGCGTGGCGTTTGAAGTGTTGTGCTGCTTTGTCGTGCCGCTCACTTCGTCATGGGGTAATCAACAGCTCTGAGCCCAGTTCGCGCCGCAGATTCTTCTGCAACTGAACAACCGACTTGTTTGGCTGAGCTGTTGCTCGCGCCGTGGATGGATCTTACATTGGACAACAAATCTTGTTGTATGTTAGCGTCGTGCTCAGTTTCTACCGTGGCGCCGACTTTTTCATATATATATATATATATATATATATACTAGATGTTCCCAATCAGTGCTTTCACTGAAAGGTGTCCTGTGTCCTAGCGGAGATTGACGGATTTGGCGAAAGTTCCGGGCTGATTTCTGTGGGCGGCCAGGTTCCCGGTTCCGGGTTCCTAGGTTGCCGGTTTTGGGTTCAGGGCCGATTGCGGTTGGTGGCGGGGTGCCCGGGTTCCCGGTTTCGTGGTCGGTCTTCTTATCAAACGGTCTCACCATCGATCTCATTACCTACCTCTCTATCGATCTCACAATCAATGTAACAATCGATCTCACGATCGATCTCACAATCGATCTCATTATCGATCTCACAACCCATCTCACGATCGTTATTATTACTACCGACCTTTGATGCGACTTTACTATCGGTCTCACGATCGACCTTAACCGACCCCCGGGGTTACAATCGTTCTCACGATCGATTCCACGATCAATCTCAGAATCGTTTTCAATATTCATATCACAAATGTTCAACCATCCACTGATTGGGGTGTTTTGTTTTTGTTGTACATATACATAGATGTACGTATCTACATCTGCATACACGTATTGCCTTGAAGCCGTCAAAGAGGACGCCACGGTCTTGTTTGAAAGTCGAGCCTTTGGCCACTGGCGTTATCCCCAGCCTGTGCCAACCACGCCGACCGAGTCGGACGACAACTCCGTCCCCCCTCCAAACGTCGGCGGGAAAGACGCCCGCTCCCTAGGGAGGTGAGTGGACCCGCCGCTGGGTGGACGGACCCGCCGCGGCGCTTCTGTGCGCGCGCAGGCATTCCCGGGAACTCAACGGGCTGCCGTTTGTCATCTGTGACATTCCCCCGCCTCTGTTGCTTTTCTCAAATAAGTGCTTGCACTGACAGGGGTCCTAGTGGAGATTCTCCTGAAGGGGTCCTAGCGGAGATTGAAAGATTCGGCGAAAGTACCGGGCCGATTTCGGTAGGCGGCCGAGTTCCCAGGTTCCCGGATCCGGGTTCCCGGGTGCCCGTTTGCTGCTTCTGGGCCGATTTCGGTAGGCTGCGGGGTTCCCGGGTTGTCGGATTCCCGTTTTTTTCGTCGATCTTCTGATCGATCGGTCTCACCATTATCGATCGGTCTCACCATCGATCTCTTTACCCGCTGTTCTATCGATTTCACAATCGAGCTCACAATCAATATCATTATCGATGCCACAGTCGATCTCACGATCGATTTCAGTATTGATCTCACTGAATCGACTTCATTATCGGACTCACGATCGACCTGGCATCGTCCTCACTATTGATCCCACGATCGATCTCACAATCTATCTCAGTATTCAGATCATTAATTATTTACGCTTCGCGTATCCCCACCAGCCCATCTCACAGCAACAACTCTTGCGAAGCATGCCGACAGTCGTGTTTTTCAGGCGTGTGTCCGCTTGGCCCCGCATATCTCCCCTGTTCCTCCTTCCTCCCGCCTCCTTGTACATCCTCCTTGTGGGGGGAGCGGGAGAAGGACGAGGCGGAGGAGGAGGGAGAGAAAGCGCTCCTCGTGTGTGAGTCGTTCGGGCTCCTCGTGGTGTGAGTCGTTCGGGCGCCTCGTCCTGGTGTGAGTCGTTCGGGCCCCTCCTTGTGGTGTGAGTCGTTCGGGCTCTTCGTGGTGTGAGTCGTTGGGGCCCTCGTCCTGGTGTGAGTCGTTCGGGCTCCTCGTGGGGCCTCTTGGGGGCCTCTTGGAGCCTCTTGGGGCCTCTTGGGGAGAAGGACGAGGCGGAGGAGGAGGGAGAGAAAGCGCTCCTCGTGTGTGAGTCGTTCGGGCTCCTCGTGGTGTGAGTCGTTCGGGCGCCTCGTCCTGGTGTGAGTCGTTCGGGCCCCTCCTTGTGGTGTGAGTCGTTCGGGCTCTTCGTGGTGAGAGCCGTTGGGGCCCCACGGCGTGGTGTGAGTCGTTCGGGCTCCTCGTGGGGCCTCTTGGGGGCCTCTTGGGACATCTTGGGGCCTCTTGGGGGCCTCTTGGGGGCCTCTTGGGGGCCTCTTGGGGGCCTCTTGGGGGCTCTTGGGGCTTTTTGGGGGCCTCTTGGGGGCCTCTTGGGGGCCGCTTGGGGCCGCTTGGGGGCCTCTGGGGGGCCTCTTGGAGGCCTCTTGGGAGCGTCCTGGGGGCCTCTTGGGGCCATCTTGGTGCCTCTTGCGACCTCCTCAGAAGCGGAAGTGAGCGCTGCCCCCTGAGGAAGACAAAATGAGCCCAAAACCTTAGTAAAACCGATGGTTTTGAGAACAAGGAAGAGGAGCGTTGCCCCCTCAGAAGGCCAAGATGGTGCCAAAACCCTAGTAACATCAATGGTTTTTGGCTTCGAAGAAGAGCAGAGGGGCCAAACGGTCTCCCCCCCTCGGGACCAGAATCCTCGCGAGGGTCGTCGTTTTTTGGCCCTCCCAGGAGTCGAAAACGACCCCCTTGCCACCACTCGGCCCGCCCTCTCCAGGGCCAGGGGAGGGGGTAGGGGGAGGGGTAAACCCTTCCCCGAAGGGGAAGATAGGGGGTTAGGGGGTTGAGGACAGAGAGAGCTCCCTGAACCACTCACGCCCAAAGGGCTGGTGGGATTCTCTAGTGCGCCCCAGGGGTCTCCATGTTTTCAAGACCTGTCGAGGCAATGAGCATAGCTCAGCGCACGCACAAGAAGATACATGTTCTGTATGCAACATTTCCAGGTGAGCATGATGTCCGCGGAGCTGCTGGGCACCCTGGAACGAGTGGTCAGTGCCGCTGTCCGTGCGAGGGGCACGTACAAGAAGAGAACGGGGGAATTGCATCGCGCCTCTGGGGGAGTGAACGTGGTCATGTGCGCTGATTTTTGGCAGTTGCACCCCGTGACGGGCACCTTCCTGGCATCCACCCCTCTGGACGTGCCCGCAGGGTGCGCGCACCGCGCGTTGGAGCTGTTCTGGCAAGACGGCGTCGATAGCGTGCGATCTTTCTGGCAGTTGACCGAATTGATGAGGTGTGACGATGCATGGTGCAACTCGTTTCTGGGCCAGTGCAGAGTTGGAAATCTCAGCATGGAGGACTACAGCTACTTCCACGGGCTCCCGACGTTGACGTCCCCGAGCGCGGGTAAGTGCGTTTGCAACGACGACGTGGTGGACGACCCAGTACTGGGCCCGTATCGCAAGACTTGGGGGGGGCGCTTCACAGGAGGGTGCGCCGACATGGCGGCGCTTCTGAACTCGCCAGAGGGCGAGTGCGAAGAGTGCCGTGCGGATCGAGGCAAGAGACACAGGGTTCTGACCGACACTGACTCGCTGGCGCCAGAGCTTCGCATGAACCCATTCAGCGGCGCGCCTGCTCTGTGCACCTCCAACGTGCCCAGGTACTTCGCGACAAACCTGCGCGCGAGGGAGTTTGCCAAGCAGAAGAACGTTCAGCTCTCGTGGTGCTACGCTCGAGGTGCGCCGCTGCATCCAGGAGATCGCGATCTGCCGAAGGAGAATTGGACGAGCAGTTGTTCTCCTGGCTGAAGAGGCACGACCAGGAGACGGGCAACCTTCCGAGCACCTACCCATTGGCCAAAGGCATGTCCATTCGGTTGACGGGCAACGTCGATCGAAGCAGACAGCTCTACAGACACCGAAAGGGAGTGATTTACGGATGGACTCTGGCGCCTGATTGCAGTCCCCAGGAGATCGATGGCGAGTTCATATTGGATAGGTTGCCCTTGGTGATCTACATCCATTTCCCAGAAGCACAATGGACAATAGGGAAGCTGCCGACGGGCGTATACCCGTTGAAGCGAAGATCCAGGACCTGGAAAGTCAACAAGCACACGGGCATCGAAGCTCGACGCACGGGCTTCTGGATTCTCCCCGGCTTCGCGCCCGCCGCTCACATGATCCAGGGGGCGACGTTGGAAGCGGCATTCGCGGACCTGCAGCATTGGTCCAGCAGGGCGTCCATGACAGCTCAGATTGCTGCCTACG